GAGAGAGAGAGAGAGTGGAATATTGAGAACACGACGTATATTCCGCATTCTACATGTGTCAAAACGAGAAATTTAATTTATAATCTACATTAATGAGAGGTACGAACGCAAATAACTCTAAATAGCTTTCCACGAACGAAATGAAAAGCGAAGATACGAATGATCGGAATGATAGATTAATCAATATCAAGGATCTATCTAACGTACTCTAGAATGTCAGTGACAGGGAGTAGTGGGGAGTTGATACAAAAAGCATTTCTTAAATTGACTGAAAATTATATCCAACACGGAGCTGTGATAAACGATTTAAAATCCATTACTATGACTATTAATGCGAAAGATGCCAAGAATCGTAACTTTGCAACGCGGTCGAAGAAATTGCTGGTGTTGCTATTCGTGCCAGTTCTTTGTGGTATATTTAATAGATATTTTAACACAAATGTAATTAAGAGTTTTCAAGGAACTCGATGCTTACTGCCAAATAATTATCTCGTATGGGAGTTCACGAGACCGTTAACGAATTGCGATTACTGTCGCGACATTGAAGCGCCATTAATCTTGCCAAATTTGACCAAAGAAGAATTTCGCACTTATTCCTATTCATCCCGACCTATGATAATAAAGAAAGCAGCCTGTACGTGGCCTGCGCGTAAAGAATTTACTCTGGAATTCTTTCGGAATTTGTACGAGCGTATCGAGGGTGCCTACGAGTCGGTAGAAGAGGAATGCCAGTTTTTACATTTTAAAAGTAACTTCGCGAACCTGCGCCAAGTATTTGCGATGAGCGAAGATCGAGCGTTACATCGAGAGGGCGAAGATCCCTGGTATGTCGGTTGGAAAAATTGCCATCCACAGATTCTAGATGCCATGAAGCACTTTTACAACGTACCTCACTTCCTGCCGGATGACGCGGAAATTCCGTACAGCAATTATATTTTCATGGGCTTTGAGGAAGGTGCCGTTATGCACGTGAGTTTTGTAGCACCGAACACGTAGCCGCGTGCGGCTACGTGCAAAACCGTATCATCAGTACTTATACAGATATTTTTGATTCCCTTCTCTGTAGCTGGATTACATATCGAGACTCATGTGGCAAGCGCAGATAACTGGTAGCAAAACGTGGATCGTAGCTCCAACGCCGGAATGCGATAGCGAATGTAAATCTTTCAAATTCTCCGTCGATGTAACGGATGTTGTACTGTTGGATACGCGGATTTGGTATCACAGTACTCATATCGAAAACGGAAATCTTAGTTTGACAGTCACCGCCGAGTACGGGTAGACTTTTAAAGCTTTTTTACGCATCTCAAGAGCGTATGTCTATAACAAATATCTACAAAAATTGCTTGGATAGGATTCTAGGCAGTTTGTTTTTTATCCTTTTGTGAATATTGATTGGAAAAATTGGTTACAATATACGTTATTTCATATCCAATATTACGTTATATTCGATGCTAACATATTTTATTATACATTGCTATCTCACGGAATAAAATTATATTGTTAAACAGGAAGATTATAAATTGAACGCATTTTAAACGAATAGCTCGTGAGCCCATATAAGAGTAGGTAGGTCTCCTTTTGTATATACTGGGTGTACCGTAAAGACCGGATCAACTCTTAAGGGTCTTAAGATTCATGAGATCGTTTGGAGACAAAAATCCTAATGTCAAAGTGTCGAGGCTGCCGACATTTATTGTCATCCCGATATTCGTCGGTCTTGCGAATAGTGTGCAAAGAAATAAAGTAAATAATAATTTCAAATATTTCTATTGAGTTGAGTAAAGTGTGCAAGAGCTGTTTTGAAATGCAACGTCCGTGAGTGCGCAAAATTTCGACAAGCACACTAGTGAACACACACTTAAAACCTTTAAACACTGTAGCAGCCTCGACAGTTTGGCATTAGGATTTTTGTCTCCAAATGATCTCATTGTAATTAGAGATAAATCTCTTTCTCTCTAGCTATTGGCGAAATAATTTCATAAAAATGTATTCAAAGATCGATATTGATCTTTGTTTTTATACTCGACCACATTGTTCGACTACTGTGTCATAATATTGATATATTGCATATTTTTAAGAAACTTTCAATAAAGACTTGGTAATATATACATATTCATTTATAGTAAATTCATGGTCATACAAATCGTTTACGTATTTACATGTGTGTAAACATTTATTCCGTAATTATATAGACTCGTGTGAAACACAACAATACAATCGTTTTCAAGAAATAACATGTACATAAGAAATTATTGTTAATACTCGCATTAATACATAGTAGTATTGTTGCAAATACCTGCAGTAATACCTGTGCTTTAACATTGCATAGCTGTAACGAGAAAAATCTAGTGCACCTTTAACCATCATCTTGAATCTACGTATTCAGATTCAAGAGTTGCTGTGTAACAAACGTCGACAGTTTGCTACGTTAAATGCGCGACAGCAAATTTGCAGTATTCGCCTAAAGTGGAATGCATATCGATTGCACTATATAATTAGCTTGTGTAATGCGATACATTTTCACTGATATTTCTTTGTATAGGCTGGTGGACTCTCCTGAAATATACACGACAAAATTTATTATATATTTATATAATATGCCTCGAAATTACAAATATATATTCCAAATGTACTCTTACATATCGTATATACGAAATTTGCTCAGTCTCTATATAGGACTCAATAAAAATTCTATTCTATCTCCGATACATAGGTATAAATAATAATATTAGGTACACAATATGACGACCAAATTTTTGATATCTTCCGATACTATGTAATCTTTCAATAAGATAATCTACATTGCTCGTGATAAAAATACAATGGAGTTGTAGAATGAGACTAAGTATCCTGTTTTACATCAGGTACGTCAAAGAAAAGAATCAAGAATAATCAAAAAACAAAAAAAGTGTTAAAAAAAAAAAAAACATTTTCATGTGAATGAAAATATACATGAATAATAAAATAAACATTGTATGTATTTGGAAACATTGCAAATATCATAAACTTTCGGACATCACTATAAATATATTTTACATGTGTCTAAAATATAACACTTACGTAATATTCGGGTGGTGGAACATAAGCGCATTGAGGCCTATTAGGATCATAATATGCGCTCTGTGCAGCTTCAGCAGCCTTTGCATCTAATGGAAAAAAGAACGGCAACGTGGAATAATGCGAGTTAAATACAAGTTAAAAATAAGGTGTCACATTATATTAATTATATAATTGACCACGGCAAATTTTTGACTAAATTTTTACTAAATTCAAAAGTGATTTCCTAACAAAAAAAAAAAAAAAACGTTATTTAAAAAACATATTTTTAAATTATAACGAAAAAAATGGATAACGCCTCAAATTGAATTTGGAGGTACAAATAAATAACAATAATAATAATAATCATATTTATTTTAAAAGATAAATTGTGCATAATAGATTTAATATATAAAAGTTGACAAATTGCAATAAATGATTATTCGTCATAATTTAATTTATATTAAACAAAGGCTATGATTGTGTGAAAATCGTCAACGATCATGTTAAAACTTAATACAAGGACGCGCGCGCGCGTGCGCGATAAATTTTACTATATAATTACGTAATTTTAGCGTTATTATTAATATCGATATTAATAAAGTACGTACAAACATAGTTTCTATTCGATGTTCTGCATTTATTTTGTCCTGGCATGATTTTGTCTTCAAGTTTTAACCGTTTTTTTAATTGAATGCAAACCGTTTGATGATCGATAAAAACATTTATCTATACACTCGTGTATATATATATATATATATATATAGGTATATATAGATATGAAAAATTATATTTGAAATGTGCACAATATAAGAACGCGGATTAAGAGTGGACTTAAAACACACAGTCTACTATATCTGTCTATCCAAGCCGTTTACTGATCTACTGGCAACTACGAGATAATAATTGTGCGAAGTGAAAGCCAATCTTATTTCAGATCGTGTAAGGACACGTTACGCAATCGTATTGCTTAATATTTTAAACTTTCAAGTTTAGCGGGTATTCGCGTTAATCCTTCTAGCTATCTCTCCATTTGAAGGTAAAATCTTGAATTGACAGGTTTAAATAAAAACAGCAAAAATTATATTTAATCAATATTTAATATTATATATTAAATATGTATATATATATATTAATAGCATACGTTTAATATATATAACGTACACTATAATCTTGTGGAATCAACGCATATGAATATAATTCTTTGTTATATTTAATGCACGTGCGAGAGAGAAAAGTATGTATTATATATTTTTACTAAGCTATCGATATTTAGAAAAATATATATACTTGTTTTGCACAAGTGTATATGTGTATGCGTGAATATATGTATTCATTACAACTCGTTAGTATTGATGTGGATATGGATTATAAGGTCCCGGCTGTTGATTGTAAGGTCCAGGCTGCGTATAGCCGCTTTGTGGGTATGCCGAATACGGTGGTGGATTAGGCGAATAACCGCTATGAGGCGGTTGTCCATAACCGCCGGGATACGCACCTGCATGGGACATCGGCTGGTTATTGTAATTCGGATTAGCCCATCCAGGAGCTCCTGGTTGACCCACTGCACCTCCGGCGCCTTGATGTGGCGGGCCGCTCGCGTATCCGTATCCTGGCTGTATGCCGGGATACGGTGGCGGACTGTCTGTCATAAAGACTGTATTTCCTAGAAAAGAAGAAGCACGTTAATATGACGAATTTTATACACAATAAAC